CTAAGAATAGTCTAAGTTGATACTGGTAAACAAAAACAATAAGAATTGATTAAAAACATCCAGTTAAGGAATAAAATTTTAAAAAATATTATAGATTAAAAATTATCGACACTATATAAATTAAAATAATTTCATATAATTTTAGTAATATGTTAGGGTAGCTAAAATACATTCGTAACATTAATTGATAGATGTATAATTTCATATAATTTTAGTAATATGTTAGGGTAGCTAAAATACATTCGTAACATTAATTGATAGATGTTTAAATCCATAGAAATGATAAAACACTATAATATTATACCTTAGCATTAATTGATTTTAATTTAGAAACTTTAATCTTTGACGTTAATAATATTTATAGGGTAAAAGAATACAAGGAATTACATATGGAGAAACTATTAGAATATTTAGAGATAACTTTAAAATAATTGAGTTATTTCCATTGCAAATGGGAAAGTAGTGATGGCAATAAATTTAAAATTCAGAAAACGTCAATGAATCACTTGAATTAGCATTAACATAAGACATATCTATTAATGAAGCACTGTATGAGTTACATTAAAAATAATTTAATAATTTTATCCTAATCAAAGAAAAAATCTCCATGGAAGACATAAGAAAAATTAGTAAGTATTCATAAATTCCATACTGTGTTCTTCAAATTAAATATTAATGTTATAATCTAAGAGAAATTGGTAATGAATAATGCAGGTATTTAGTTTAGATCTTTATGAAAAATGACAGGGATAGAGCAAAGGTAATATTATTGAAATAACATAAATTCTTATTGGATGTACATCAGAAGAATTCATTTTAGAGGAAAATAAAGAGATAGCTTCTAATTTATTTAAGTAATAAATTAGGAACACAAAGAATTTTATATATATGAAATTAATATTTATTATCATTGAAATAGAAAAAAAAATTGAAGTCTATATTTTGAGCAGTTTGTGTTGAACATCATAAGTACATTTGACTTCTTTGTAAAGTTAAATGAGATGATAAAAAATTAATGAGCCCAGGAAAGATAATAGCATAAAAAATACAAAATTAGCCTGATGTCACAATTGATGTAGATGATGAAGACAATACTCTAGAATTGCCCGAGAAATGATAAATGATAAACCTGAAGAAGGATTGATCTTAACTCAATAAAAAAATAAAATAGAAGAAATAAAAAATAATATTTTCTGAATATTTTATAGAATAGTTTAATTATTTTTAGTGAAATTAGGAATCTTTAGAATGGAGTTTCATGAATTTTTTTAGTACTTTTATATTCTTATGTGGATGTTTTTATCATATAAAAGTATACTAGAGTTAGCATTAATCTTTAATTTATATTTTTTATGAAGTCTATCAATGATTAAGAATAAACTTCATATTCTCTTTTGTATCGTTCTCATCTCTCTTACTCTTATTTCTTGACAACTCATTTTATACTGTATATGCTTGTCAAATCAAACAGATGCCTAAGATGGAAAGATATGCAAAAATAGACCCCCAAAGATCATATGGTACTCAAAGATAAAATTCCTGTAATGCAAGGTATCATTGATACAAACAGAACATTGAGACTCCGTTAAGCACATAAAAACTTCCATGTATATCTTCCACTCTTCCAAAACTAAAAGAAACAGCAAGAAACATAATGATCCACATCCTGAACAAAAAAGGAAAACCCTCGTAGCTTAAATCAAATCCACATCCAATGTCAAATGGGCAACCATTTTCCCCTTCTAAACTCAAACCACCTCGTAATTGTCTGCTATCAGCTGTATCCTTTGAGCATACTTTGGAGGAGGACCACCTCTAATCGGTATGACATTTCCAACCTGCAAAAAATTACAAAGCTCGTGTTAAAATACATGGACATCTTCCAAATCGCCATCTCCGCCTCTTTAATCCGCAGTTTTCAAACCAAAAAACAAACATTGAGAAAATCCACAGTCAAAGGAAGACAATGGTGTGTATATTGATGGTTAAAGCAAGCTAAAACAAGAACAATGAGTTACAAACTGCAGCAAAGATATCTTTCAAGGATTATTGATCATATGGAGAAGCTTGCAAATTGCATGTGATGCTTTATATAATTGCATGAAGGGGGAAGTTCAAAGAAGTAGGAACTAACAAACAAATCTTTACAGGGGAATAAATAATAAAGTTTACCAAATTTAATGGAATGAACCCTAATAATTATATCTAATAGAATAAACCCAAATGGATGGGAGCTTCATATTAGATCTAATGTGCTTACTTGGAACAGTCAATAGTGGTCCAATCACAAAACACAACATAAAAATATTAGAAGGAAAAATTAACTTTGTGGCTCTCAAAAAAGGTGATTGGAGAGATGGAACAGGATACGTTTTACTGTAAAAAAAAAAGACGGGAGAGGTCCTAATAACTCCTACTAAAGGATATAAAGATGTTAAGAACAACTGCTACTTCACAAGAATTACATTACCAAGGAAATACAGTGAATGCTATATGACAAATGCAATAAAAGCAGATAGTCAAGTGTGCAACCTTTACGTCACTGAAAGTGTTGGCCGCGGTAAACTTGATTGCGATGGGGAAGAATGAAGATGGATCAGCAGGAGGCACGACAAACTCCATGGATCCACTGTCAACAATGACAAGTTGAATGAATCATTTAAAAAATAAATCTCTGAAAGAGCTCCCATTACAGATTTATTCCTAGACATGATTATATTACCTCCGGTTAGTATTATCGACGAGAAGGATTGACCATTCCAATGTCGAATTCCTTGCATCATACCTGAAATTGAGATATCAAAGGGCAGAACCACTGGTGGAAAAACTGATATTATCTAAATATATCTGAATCTAAATGGCCATTGTTCTACCTTACAATCTTGGCCAAAGTAAATAATGTACTGAAGACTTAAGATATTAAACTCCAAACAGGATAAATACATTTTCCTCATCAGTTAGAGAAATGGTGAAGGATTCGTAAAATTCTAAAGTGGTTAAAATATTAATTCTGGCTTTTTCATTCTAAAGCAATCACACAACACATACACACACTCCACTCAACCGGTGGGAGGCATGTCCAGTGCAAAATGGTTATGAAGAAGAAAACAAAGAATCAGAATTCAGAATCTATTTACATTTGCAAAAAGGAAACATCAACTTTACCTCCATTCTCCATCTATCTGCCTTACACTAGGTGGTTCTCGACTTGCAGGAAGAGGTATAGTTATCAAAACATTTTGCAGGTCAAACGTCTCAAAAGCTTCATATTCAATATTAACAAACGTCTCACTTCCAGAAACAGTGGGCCAGCAGTTAACTGCACATAGATACAATCAATCAGTAAGCAGTGCTGAAAATGTTAAAATGAACATTGTTTAAGATAAGATGACTTCAAAATGTAAACCCACCAGTCAATGGCAAAGAGGCCTCATTCATGCCTTGGATTCTCCACTTGATCAAATTAACATCATTTTGACCAGTGGGGAAAGGCCTGTTTGGATCCTTCAGGCTTTTTGGCTATTTTGAGTGATAAATCCCCGATATGGCCGATATATTAGCCGATATGTGGACCAATATATCTTTTTATATAGCTTGTTGCAAAATAATATACCGTGTTTGGAATTTTTGGGCGAGATATCAAGATTTTCCCATTATATCAAATGACATTTTGCCCTAAAAAAAGCAGATCGAATGTTGCAACGTTGCTTTGCACTTTTGTTTGTTTTAGAAGGTTGATTAGCGATCCTAAACATATATTATTCATATTTTGTATGCTTAAATTTCATTACATATGTTGAGATTACATTTTAATGCAGTATACTATGTATGCAAACATTCATTATAGCATTCCGATATTTACTACATATCCCTGATATTTTCCCGATATCCGCAATCCGATATGAATTTTGGCCATCCGATATTTCCCCGATATCCGATATTTAAAACATTGCACATAGGTTGCAATTTGCAAACAGGAAAAAGTAACTATCAAAAACCTTCCCAGATATACGACTGATAGCAAAGAGAGAAAGAATGGACCTAAAATCATGATTTTCTTTGTAGTTATATTGGTGATGTAAATGCATCTAAGCATATAAATCAATAAAATAAACAGAAGGTGAAAACATCAAGGAACAAAAACATTCTGATGTTAGATTCTGCAATTCGGAAAAATGTGTATTTTCTTGAAATATTAATCAGTCAAAGGCATTCGTTTAATTTACACTAATGCCAGTTATCCAGGTCGAAGGTATGCTTGATCTTCAGAAGCCACTAAAGTACGACAATGAAAAAGCATATTAATCTCACAGGAAGATATATGATACATGTTTTTTTTGGGGTGTGTGTGGGGGGGTGAAGGAATTGAGAGAGAGAGAGAGAGAGAGAGAACCTGAAATTGAACTAGCCCATCTTCCTGGTTAAGTATTTGGACAGAAAGGGTGCCTTGAACATCAAAGTTACTAACCAAACCATCTCTCCTAACTACAACATTGAGCCTTTCTTCAATAGTTAATGTAATGGG